TCTGGTCTGGACCCCTCGCGCTGGCCCCGGGATGCCGCTCCCTTCGCCTGTGGACAAACCTCCCTTCAGCAAACCACACTTCAGTGAAAACGGCCCAGGACCGACACCGACGGACCTGGACCCGCAACAACGACGGCCGCGACGCCCTCTCGCGAACCGAAAACGGCCAATTCGCTGATCGACGTGTCAGGGCAGGAGGCCTGATATCAACCTCCGAATCCCCGGACGAGGCGCACCTTTGGACAGGTCTGCCTGTCATCGCGGCAGGCCAGGTGCGCAATAAATGCGTTGCGAAATGATTCGTCTGGACGTTCGGCCTCTGGACCGTCCGGAGCCGCCCCTCGTCCTTTGTTTCAGGTCGGGCACGGTCCTCCATAGGCGGATTTCGGGCCAATTTTTTTTTAAAAAAAAACATAAAACAACAAATGCTCAGAGATACTCAAAAAATCGTCCCCTGACTATTTTTTGACTATTTTTGAATATTCTACCTGTAGAGGGACAGGCCCGACTAAACCCTCGTGCTTTGCTGCATCTTGCCGATGGGGGCCTTGTGGAGGCCTCGCGCGTGCGGTCGACGCCTGTGCCTCGGCTGGCTTGGCCAAGCGACAGGGCTTGGACGGAGATGGCTCGCCTGGCCAAGCCAGGAACAGGTTGCAGGCTCATCGCTTGAATCCAGAACCTCTGCCGCGCGCGGGGCAAAGCGAGGAGGCCCAGCGCGTGCGATTGGCAGAGGCAGCACGCATGTCTTGAGATCTGGGGCACCAGGAGAGGAACAGCTCTACCGACAGTGCCTCTGATCATAATCTCAATGGCGAGCTCGCCGCCCTCCTTAGGGAGAGTTCTGCTCCAGCATTGCTTGATATGGTCAAGTGCTGTGGGATGATCAATCGAGATTAGCTTATCAAGGAAGCCATCGCTCTGGATGTTTCTCCGAGTTTGGTTTAGATGCTCACCGACCTTTGCGGGCGACCTCGGAGATTCAATGCCTCTGGTAGCCTATCCGAGCCCCTTGAGCCCCCGGAGGGCATCTTAGCAGGATGTAGCCACGCGACTGGTATGCCGCGGGCTCTTGTGGGCGGTGTCTCTGCAATTTATATTGGTTTCACCCTATGAGCTGCCGCAGCTCGTCAAGTCAGTGCAAAGAGCCTCTTCCGACGTGGCAGTAGCAAGGCTGCGGCAGCAGCCCAAGAAGTCAGGTGCGATTGCGGGGTCAGCGGATTCAGGCAGGGGCGAGGCAGTTGGGTTTGGAGGTTCGGCCCTGGATGAGGAATCTGGGACGCGAGCTTGCCGGGCCCCAGGTGCTCAGGCTGCACAAGAAGTCCAGACTGAAAGACATCGCTGCCAGAAAGCGTATGTTCATAGCGTTGCGTAGCGCATCGGAGGGCAAATATTTTCTTCGCTGTGGCGCGCTTGTACTTTGCCTGCTGCTGGCCATGGTGGCCTCGTGGCTGGAGTCTCGGACGTGAAGCTCAGATAGTTTCGCGGCGCGGCGGCGGCTCAGGCAGGAGGCAAAACGCATGGAGGCGCAACCTTCTATCTGCTGGCGCATCGCGACCCACTGTGCGGCCCCATCTAGGGCTGCACGCTCGGATTTACCATGGTGTATGCGTCCTGGATCTTGGGCGACAGGATCAGTTTGGGGAAGGCCCAGAGGGCCTGGGCCATCTTGCAGCAGCGCGTTCAAGACAGCTCGACTTGGCAGAGAGTCAAGGGGCCCGGGTCGGCCTGCTGGATGTCGCTGCGACGGACTGGGCGGGTCATGGAGGCCGTGCACGTCCGTGCATCCCACTCGGGACGTGGCACCAACCTCACTACTACCTGCCCGCCTGACGCCAGGCTCGCCATCATCGAACGCACTCCAAGGTGGCAACATAGCCAGTTGCCCCTGCACATCGGGAGGTCTGTGGGAGAGCCGAAGTCTGGCATCAAGCTCTTCGTGGTGGGCTCGGGTCGGCACCGCGTGCCTGACAGTTGGCTTGTCTGTCTCCGCGGACCGGGCCGACGTGACTCCTTTCCTTTGCGGAGCATGCGAGGCCCCCTGTGGGTTCCCGTGGGCACGTGTGGTGCTGCTGTGAAACCCTCATCATGGACGGTGACGTGGACGTTTCTCTTCTCTCTCTTCTCCCTCTCCCTCTCTCCCTCTCTCTCTCTCTCCCTCTCCCTCTCTCTCTCTCTCTCTCTCTCTCCCTCTTGAAAACAAACAGGACGGTGACGCGGTGACGTGACGTGGACGGGGAGCCTGTGCCTGCTGCCTTTCTGAGCCAGGGCGCGGCCCTAGGAACTCCTCGCTCAACATTGCTGACGCGCCGCAAGCAGACACCACCTATCCAACGTATGGGGCTCCTGGTTTGTCTGTTGGGGTCAGGGCCGAGGCCTCGAAAAGTTCGCTCGAGTTTCCATGTGGGCACCCTCTTGGAGCCTTTTGGGGGGCCTCTTGGGCCGTCTGGAAGGCCTCTGGGACCGTATTGGGGCCCTCTTGGTTCGTTTTGTGGGCTGTCTTGGAAACCTCTTGGAACCCTTTGTGCTGATCTTGGTGGCATCTTGGGCCGTCTTGGGGCATCGGGAAGCCGAAAAGGCGAGAACGCCAGAATCGCTCAAAAACTTGAAGGACATCATTTAATTCTGCCTGTTTGGGCCCTCTTGGTGTTCTCCTGGAAGCCTCTTCGAGCGTCTTGGAAGCCACTTGGGCTGTCGGGAGGCCATCTTGGGCGTCTTGGACTGATGGTTCAGCGAGGCGGTGCCATCTTGGACCATCTTGGGGGCCTCTTAGACTGTCTTGGAGCTTTTTTGGGGTCTCAGGACCTCCCTTGGCAAGACGGTATTCTGGCCCATGACCCACCCCCAGGTCCCCCCACGGGATCCCCCCCGGGACCCCCCCCAAGATCCCCCCTGGGCACCGCCCCGGGACCCCTCTCCAGGACCCAGCCCCCGGGACCCCTCCCGGGACCCGCCCCACCCCCCAGGGGGGAAGGGACCAAAGGGAAGGGGCTAAACGACGACGTTGCTCGATTTCGCTTCGGTTTCGCTTTGGCTGGCTCGCTTGAGGAGGAGGGCCCAATGAAAGGGGGAGCGACGACGGGCCCAGGAAAAGGGGAGTCGAACGCGACGACGATGACGACGACGACGAAAACGACGACGACGAAAACGACCACGACGACGAGTCAAACAGAATAGCGTCTTCCATATGACGACAGGGTCGGCAGACTTTTCAGGATCGTGGCCGTGTGACAGACGTGAGAGCACGACCGTGTGCACTGTAAAATCCGCCGATCCGGCGTGTGAGCTACAAGGAGCCTCAGCAAGAGCTTCAGCTCTGAGCCTAAGCAAAACCTTCAGCTCTGCTGGGGGGGTCGCCGTGGTGGCTCTGCAGGGGAACGGGGGGAGGGAGGTGGAGGGGGTACCCCCATCTGGCGTTTTCTTCACGATTTGCGCATCTGGACCCCGCCCCGGGGAAGGGGGGGAGGGGGGGGTGGGCGGTCCCCCATCTGGCGTTTTCTTAATGATTTGCGCATCCACAAAATAATTCGGGGGGTCCCAGGGGCCCCGCCTCAGATCTAGCCGCTACCGCCCCCAGGACCCTCCCCTCGGAACCCTCCCCGGACCCCCCCCCAGGACCGCTCCAGGCACCCACCCAGAGGAGAAGAAAGAGGTCCAGAAGAATCGAGGAGGGAGGAGGCCACAGAGCCGCGAAGATCACCGAATTCGGAGCCCGCCGGATCGGCGGCACTGGCTGGGGGCCATTACTGCTTTAAACAGGATCGTGGCCGTGTGGCAGGAGTGAGAGCCCGACCGTGTGCAACGTAGTGTACTCTTGACGAGGGATCGTGGCCGTGCGATATGGGGCGAGGGCACCGCCATGGGGCCCGCGGCGCACTGTTCACAAAAGATCGTGGCCGTCCCGACCAAACATGTAGCCGGCACCGAGGCGAGAGTGCGACTCCTGAATGAACTGCGGGGAATGGAAGAAGAAAGCACACATAAACATAAAACTTTGGGCGCTCCGCGCGGATCTCTTGGATCCGCGCTGTGCCCCCCTCCCTGGCGCGAGGAGTGCGCCAGGAGCGGCGCTGGAGGCGCCGCCTGTGGGCCCAGGAGCGGATCCAAGAAATCCGCGCGGAGCGCCAACATGATATGTTTATGTGTGCTTCTTCTTCTTCTTATTATTCTTCTTATTCTTATTCTTCTTCTTCTTCGATGAGTGAGTTGCCGGGAAATCTCGAGCGAAACGGCGGGCTGCCGGCACCAGCGCTCTCGGGCTCCCCGTCCACCCCGTGGGACTCCTCTGTGGTCCCTGGAGGAGGGGGGAGAGAGGAGGAGGAGGAGGAGGAGGAGGAGGAGGAGGAGGAGGAGGAGGAGGAGGAGGAGGAGGAGGAGGAGGAGGAGGAGGAGGAGGACGAGAGAGAAGGAGAGGACGAGGAGGAGGAGGAGGACGAGAGAGGAGGAGAGGAGGAGGAGGAGGAGGAGGAGGAGGACGAGGAGGAGGAGAGGAGGAGGAGGAGGAGGAGGAGGAGGAGGAGAGGACGAGAGAGAGGAGGAGGAGGAGGAGGAGGAGAGGAGGAGGAGGAGGAGGAGGAGGAGGAGGACGAGAGAGAAGGAGGAGGAGGAGGAGGAGGAGGAGGAGGAGGAGGAGGAGGAGGAGGAGGAGGAGGAGGAGGGGCAGCGCGCCGGCCTCGGCCACGACGCGCGGAGCGCCAAGCACGGCGAAAGGCACGAAAAAACTCAGATCTTCGATGGGAGGCGAAGCGGCATAGCAGTACTGCATGTCCTCCCCGGAGGCGCGCGCGCGCGACCCGAACATGCAGTAGACCTGCCTTGTAGTGTGTGTTTTTCCCGAGCGGCGTGGCCAGAGAGCGCCCGCCACGACGCATGTGCTGCACGCTTTCTCGGCGCGCGCGTCGCCCCTTGGGGGGGAATGGGGGGCGACGCACACATAGTAGAAGAGTGTTGGGGAAACGCCGATTCGATCCTCGGGCGTCGGGCGTCTCAGGAGAGGGAGGGGCCTGCGGCTCGATGTAGCACCAGCGCCTCCCGCGCTGGCCGTCGGGCGTGTCCAGCTCCTCGGCGCCCCCCCCCCGCCCAGAGAAAGGAGGGAGGAGGAGCAGCGGAAGGGAGGAGGAGCGAGGAGCGAGAGAAGAAGAGGATGGAGGAGGATGGAGCAGGAGGAGGAAGGATACAGAAAGTAGGGATGAGGAGGAGGAGGATGAGGAGGAAGAAGAGAAGAGGGGAATGAACAAGATAAGAACCGCATAATGTTTGCTAGCGTGGACCACAAGCAGTGAGCTCTTGCACCCTGGGCGTTCATGCAATGCGGTGCATGCTATATGGAGCAAGCAATGCGGTGCAAGCTATGCGTGCTGCAAGACATCAGGTACGAGCTACGCGTGGTGTAAGCAATGTGGTGCAAGCGTTGTTGCATGAGGCACGTGTGTGTGAGTGTGTGTGTGTGTGCGGGGTGCAGCCTCTGCAGTGTGACGTATGTGGCGAAAACTGCGTGCTGGGCGTGCGGTGCAACCTGTGTGGCGCATGCTATGTGCAGGCTGTGCGAGGCAACAGGACTGGACCTAAACGTCGTTTTGTTTTCGTGTTGTGTCTCGTGTTGCTCTACCTGTTTTCCTGTACCTCCCTGCCAACATGAAACACATAACACAGCCGAAGTCCAGCATAACGGCGTTTAGGTCCAGCCCTGCGGTGCAAGTTATGGGATCCGAGCCATGTGAGCGACAATCAAAAAGGGGTCGCACGCGAGATGGCACAGCGACCTTACGCGGCGGCTCACGCGGGCCGCCAGCGCGGCACGCCACATGGGAGACGAAGGCACTGACGCGTGGCCTTACGCGGGCAGCTGGCGCGCCAATGTCGGCGCAGTCGACCCCGCTTTCTCTCGTCGCTAATGTGTAAGTTGGCGGCGCGCACGCGGGGGCAGGGGGAGGGGGGAAGGCTTCTTAGAGGGAGGCTGCTTCTTAGAAGGCGCGGGCCTCACATCTCCAGAGAAGGCCGGCGCCTTCTGAGAAGCAGGGGTGCTTCTCAGAAGCCTTCTTCTCTCCCCCTCCCCCCCCCTTCTGCGCGCGGCCGAATAACATGTGCACGCGCGACCCTGTGCGGGCAGCTTGCGCGCCAATGTCGGCGCAGTCGACACCGTTTTCTGTCGTCGCTCATGTGTACCCATCGGTCGGAAGAAGTGGGTAGAAACATGAAGTAGGAAGGCGTTGAGAGTATATTGGGTCCCGTCCGCCCCTTGAGGAGGACGGGAAGGGTGAGGCCACTCGATCGTTGAAGTAGGAAGGCGCTTATAAAGTAGATTGGAATATGGGACTCCAGAAATCCCTACGTTCAACGCCCGATGGGTAAAACATGCAGCGCAGACCGTGCGGTGCAGGCAGTAGGAGGAGGAAGCGAGGAGGAGGAGGAGGCGAAGGAGGAGGCGGAGGTGGAGGCGGAGGAGGAGGAGGAGGAGAAGGAAGAGGAGGAGGCGGAGGAAGCGGAGGAGGAGGAGGAGGAGGACGACGAGGAGAAGGAGGAGGCGAAGGAGGAGGAGGAAGATGAGGAGGAAGAGGAGGCGGAGGAGGAGGCGGAGGAGGAGGAAGAGTAGGAGGAGGAGGAGGACGAGGAGAAGGAGGAGGCGAAGGAGGAGGAAGATGAGGAGGAAGAGGAGGAGGCGGAGGAGGAAGCGGAGGAGGAGGAGGAGGAAGAGTAGGAGGAGGAGGAGGAAGAGGAGAAGGAGAAGGAGAAGGAAGAAGAGGAGGAGGAAGACGAGGAGGAGGAAGAGGAGGCGGACGAGGAGGAAGAGGAGGAGGACGGGGAGGAGGAGGAGGAGGAGGAGGAGGAGGAGGATGAGGAGGAGGAGGAGGAAGAGGAGGAGGAAGAGGAGGAAGAAAAAGGCGGCGGAGGGGGGGGGGAAGGACGGGACGTGCACGAGGCGCCCACGGCCGCGCCACCCGGCGAGGAAGGCCTCTCGACAGAGGCCGCGGCCCCGGCAGGCGCCTCGGCGCCCCTGCGGACGCCGTGCCCAAAGGCCGCGCTGCACTGGGCGAGATGCCCTCGGCTTACAGTCAAAAACCCAAATAAGGACGCGCGGTAAGGACGCAAGACCCTTGGAAGCCGAAGTTGGGATTCTTGGGGCGGCGGACGACGAAAACCTCAAGGACGCAAGAGCACGGAAGGGCAAGGACGCAAGGGTACCCTGAGCAAAGTCGCGCGTCCTTATTGGGGTTTTTGACTGTAGGTCGGGCATGTCCCCCTGCAGAATAATTTTGGGCGAAAACCTACAAATGGTCAACAACAAGTACCCAACAGCTGTCAGAACAAACACTCCAACAATCGTCCCTAGACTATTTGTTTGACTGTTTTTGAATGGAGCACCCTGAACGCAGCAGCTTCTTTCATGGCCGCGGGAAGCCACCCGCGCAGCATGAGGATCGAAGAAACCCAGGGTACCCTGGCGAGAAGAACTTGGTTTGTTGATTCGCGCCGGGCGAAAGGGGGGGATAGCAAAGGGGGGGGGGGTGAGAATCAGCTCACGTAGCTGATTCTCCCAGCGCCTCCCGGCGCCGGAAGCGGCTATGTGCCGAGGAATGGGCCCCTCGGTGGGGCCGAAACCAGCTGCATGCAGCAAATTTCGTACCCCCCTTTTTCCCAATCCCCCCCTTTCGTCCGGCCCGAGAGGATCGAAGAAACCCAGGGTACCCTGGCGAGAAGCACTTGGTCTCTTGGTGCCCGCCTCCACTGGATTCCTCCTGCCTTATAGAAGGATGCGCGCTGAGGATACAAGGGCCTTGGAAGGCCACGTCGAAGCTCTGCGAGCGGGGCGCGACCAGCGAAAGTGGCCAAGGATGGGCCGAGGAGGCAAAGATGCAAGGGTATCCTCAGGAAGGTGGCCCATCCTTACCATGCGGGTCGACTGTCGAAAGGTTACCTGCCTCTCGCCAGAGATTTCTTCGCACGCCTCTGGCCCGTTGGGCTGGCAAGTTCCGCTGTTCTCGCCCGTGCTCGGTGGTGGGGTCCTGAGGGATGGGGTCCTCAGGATAGGAAGGGACCCAAGGGTGGATTTACACTGTTTGAGGCACCTCGCCCGTAGGACCCCATCCCTCAGGACCCCCCTTTTGAACCACCGACCTGCGGCAGGCTCGCGAAACGTCAACGCCTCTGCGCGGTCGCTCGAGAGAGGTGGGAGCGCCGGCCGGCGGAATACTGCGGCCTCTCGCGCCGGCAGCGGTCCGCGAGGATTTTATGATAGGCCAGTTTTCCACCACGACTGCCACAGGTGGGAGGGGGAAGAAACAAGGAGGATGGGGAGGTCCTCCTCCTCCCCCTCCTCCTCCTCCTCCTCCTCCTCCTCCTCCTCCTCCTCTTCCCGATCCTACCTATGGTAGTGGTAATGGAAGATCGGCCCATCTTTTGGTGGCCAGCGCCGGCGTTGCCGCGGCAGGAGATCAAGGATAAAAGGACCCCCTGTAGCCCTAGGAACACGATGAAAACGCAGCCTCACGGCGGGTGCGCGTGTGCGTGTGCGTGTGCGTGTGTGCGTGCGCGTGCGCGTGCGCGTGCGTGTGCGCGTGCGTGTCCGTGTGCGTGTGCGCGTGCGTGTGCGTGCGCGTGTGCGTGAGCGTGAGCGTGTGCGTGTGCGGGCGCGAGTGCGCGCGCGCGAGTGCGCGTGCCCGTGCGCGTGCGCGTGCGTTTGCGTATGCGTGTGCGCGTGCGTGTGCGCGTGCGTGTGTTTGCGCGAGTGCGTGTGCACGTGCATGTGCGCATGCGCGTGCGTGTGCGTGTGCGTGTCCGTGTGCGTGTGCGAGTGCGTGTGCGTGTGCGCGTGCGCGCGCGCTTTCGCGCGCGTGTTCGTGTGCGTGTGCGTGTGCGTGTGCGTATGCGCGTGCATGCGCGTGTGCGTGCGTGCGTGTGCGCGTGTGTCTGTGTCTGTCTGTGCGTGTGCGTGCGCGCATGTATGCGTGTGCGTCTGTCTGTCTGCGCGCGCGCGCCCGCGTGGGGGGGCGGCGGCAGGCGTCGACCGATTGTCCTCAACCCCGTCATCCTCTTCCATTTCCCCCCTGGACCCTCGCCCCTCCATCCTTGGACATTGTGCGGCGCAGAGCGAGCGTTCCGCGCATTTTCTCCCGCGCGCGAGGCCGATCCGCCTTCGAGCGGGTCGATCCCCGCGGCCTCGGCCACAGCGTTTGCGACGGCCTGGGCGGGCTGCCCTGGCCCAGGAAGCCCAGGGGCTGAGGGCGGAAGGGGGGAGGCCTGTCCTTGGGCCTCCTGACCACCACCAATATTTTTCGCCAAACTAAGCGCGCGCCATGTCCCGCCACCGCGTCGCCGTCATCGCCGGCAGCATCGCCATTATCGCCGTCGTCGTCTGCACCCGTTTCATCGCCACCGCCTGCGCCCTCATCATCACCATCATCATCAACAACGAAACGTAGAATCACACGTGGGCCCGTTCTGAGCCTGCACCGGGCCAGCCCTGCAGGCGCCCGCACCGCAACGCGTGCGTCAGGGCGGGCGAGAAAGGCAGCGGCGCCGGCAGGCAGGAAAACCAGGGGGCGCAGCGGGGAGGGGGGGGGGGGGCGGCGGGCCAGACGCGGCCGTGCGCGGCAACTGACCATGGCATTGCGGAGTGACGCTGTTTCTGGAATCTGGGACGCCCCCCGTCTCGCGATCTGCAGCGAAGATCGACTGCCCAAGTGCCGCGGCCACCGCGGCCACCGAGAAAACTCGCCCCCCCCTTCTGCCCCCCCGCCCCGCCCCACCCACCCCGCGCGCACGCGCGCGCGCCCCGCCCCCGCCCCCGCCCTCGCGGTCACCGCCGCCCCTCCCTTGGGGAAGGGGCGGCTGGGTGGCGGGATGCATCGTGCTCTTCCCCCTTGGGAGAGCGTTGTCCTAGCGCGCCGTCGTCGCGGACTGCCCGCGCGACTGCCGCCGCGGTCGCGCGCTCCCACGAACGGGCCCTGAGCGGCGAGAGGGCGGTGACTGCCAAGATCGGCAGATCTCGACAGGTCTCGACAGACTTCGACATCGCGCCGAAATCGGTCGAGAACGCGCTCGACGGATTTCGACAGATCTT